ATTAATTGCTGTCTCCAGTCCATCCTCTGTGCTGTCTTTCACTTTCCCTCCTGAGATGACTGCCAGAGATGCCCAGCACCTGTGGTTCCCTCATCTGCTTCATCTTCATGTTCTATTTAGCAATATTCTCCATCCTTGCACATCACTTTGGGTGCAATGTCCCTCATGCTCTCCACATGGTTTACCAAGCTCTATGTAATCATCCCATCTGTGGCAAATAAGTGTCTGTCTTATCTGTGGACTAAAGATAAAACAGATCCAGGACAGAGTCACTCTTCTCTTTCCTAAGGTATTCAAGTGATACATGCCTGGAATCTGGGCAAAAAGAGCACATGTGCACTTTCTGTGCATATGAAAGTTTTGCATTTACTTGGGTACATTAGATTACATAATCTAGTAGTGTGTGTTAGATTGGATAATTTTGAGGTATTAGTTCTAATCTATAGCCAATTACCCCACAGAAGGAACAGTTGAAAAATTCCATCTTAATTAGAAAGGTCATTTTACCTCCCTTATCATTTCAGACATGTCTACTCACTCCAGTTTCAAAAAGAAAAAAGTCTGAGTCTGGGAAATAATCAATATTTTTAAATTCTTGGAAACCAAAATTTTGCAATTCCTTATGATTGCTCTAAGATGATGACAAATTTTAATTTAAACAAAAATGATCAATATCTCTTCAATATGTTGTTTATGGGGCAAAGGGGGCAGAAACAATACTAAATAACTATAGCTCTCTTCTCCTAGATGGGTTTGCCCATTGGAAGGACACCGCTCTCTGAGTTGGCTACTGCTCCCCCGGTAGTTCTGCAGGTCCTTCCCTGCTCCACGTTGACTTTCCCCCAGGTCCTGAGAGTGTCAGGCCAATCAAGTCAGCAGAGATGAATATAGACCTCTGTTAATTCCTCATTAACAGTTTGCAGATGAGACTAGCAGGTTCTAAATCCTACCAGGCCTCAGGGCCCATGCCCCCTTGAGAGACTCAGCAAAAAAACCCATAAATCCTTCTCATTCACACTTGCTTTCTCCCAGCCTCACCACAGAAACATCTTTGGAGCATCATAGTTCTCCAGTGCACTAGATGCTGAGTGGACAAGCTGGTGCAGCAGAAAAGGAGGCGGCACTGGGTAGATAGAGATTGAATGACTCTTCCTCATCTATAATCCTCATCTATAGCAGAGAGGTGAGAGGTTCCTGCCCCATCCGCATTGGAATTTCATCAGCAAGATCTGTCACACCTGAGGCAGTTTTGGGACTCCTGAAAACGGCTCTTTATCCCATTTTTTAAACTTATTCCATAGTGAGCCAAATGCTGAAGGTCTTGGCAAGATGCCAAGCCTCAAGGAGATGCTCTAAGGAAACTTGTCCTGATGTAAATGAGTTAAGATTTTTCTAGAGACCAACTCTGGGGTACAAAGGGGAGCAGGTAGCACAGGGCCAGTGAGGCTGTTTAGATTGAGAACTGGGTATAAAGCATCACAATTACTACTCTCCCATCATTACTGAGACAGAATAGTGGGAAAGATGAAGGTTGGGAACCCAGAGTGGAACTAGAAGAAAATCGCATCAAATTATCCATTTTATTTAGATGTAGCCTTATACTAGTTCTCATTTCTTGGGTCTATTTGAAAAAAAAAAAAAAGAGTTATTTCTTTAGCCTAATCAAATCTAATCTGAATATTTCAGTTTGCTTTTAGCCAGTATTTTTTTCTTACACAGGACCTTTTTGTTTTCAAGTTTCCTTAATTCAATCCCCAACTCTCTTTGTTTTTAAAAATAAATATTAAAGAACTTGAGGCAGATGGTGAAATTGAGAGGTAAGAATGCAAGTGAATGGGACTCTAGAGAACAGATTCAAGGACCAATTCAAGTGCTGAGTAATACCAACAACTCTTGGTAAGATGCCTTAAGCTTTCACCATGTCTCTGGCACTTTGTACCTTGTGCAATTGCTTTGCATATTTTGTTTTTTTTAATTCCTAACTTTATTCCTGTTAAGTGGGCACATTTACCATAATCCATGGATTTGAGCTCAGGAAATTAAGAAATTAATAGAGAAGTTGCATATCTTGCCCCAAATCGCACAGTTTACATGTGCAGAACTAGAAACCTAACCTAGATAATCTGGCTTTAGAGCCTGCTCTAGAGCTAAACCATGATGTTGAGTCAGAAAAAATATAGGAACAAGAAAAATGGAGCACTTCTACCTCCTAATTTTTGGAAGGCTTAAGATTGGATCAGACCAATCTGATGTTTCTACCAATTTCCTACTAACATGCTATGGACATACTGGAAAAGAGAAATACACATCCATCCATCCTCAGAATAAATCTATTTTCAATACTCTTTGAAGAGCTTTCACTAACAAGGTCAACTGAACTGAATTGTAAAACAACTTGTAGCACTAATGCATATACTTTTCCATGGAAACCAAATAAACTAGCTACCCTCAAAAAAAAAAAAAGAAAGACATCAGAACAGGATTCTTATATCTGTCTAAATCATGGTTGCAGTGATTCAGAATGTTGCCTCAAATTATATAACAAAACTGAGACTGAATATATATTCTCTAAATTGCTTTTCTGAATTCTTTTTATTTAGTCCCCCCCCCCATAAAGCTTTCATTTGCATTTAATATATTCTTCCATGGAGGGAGCTGCTTAGGCAGGACACAGTAGAATGGCTCTGAGGAGCCAGAGGTCCCTTAAAAAGAATGGAGGAATAAGAAGAGGGAAGTAGTGGCCTTTGGCCAGGACCACTATGGGGAGGAGACAGCAGGTGGTGAGACAAGTGTCAGTCTGCAGGGCTCATGCAGGTCTCTGTACCACCAGTGCCCCAGGACTTGCACTTACAGAAAGAAGTGAGTGTGTGAATAGGGAAATGTAGAGGAACTCAGAGCGGGGGTCTAAACGCAGGGCTAAGCAGAGCTGTGGAACCTTTGTACGTGGCAGAGGAAGCTTCCTCTGCTAAGAACAAAACCACTGTTGAGTGAGGAATAGGGTGAAGAATGTGAGAGGAGGGCTCCGGTCCCCAGGTGATCTTGTTCTAGTCTCAACTCTATTTGCTCTATCCTCTGTGTGTTTCCTGACAGAAACAGGATGTAAGAACACCTTGGCTGGGCATTAACACCAAGAAGGTGCTCCTGGACTTGAAGTCACATCTCAGAGTGCACCTGTGCCTCAGAGCTCAGGGAGAGATGAGGTCCTATTTTACCTCTCCTTCTCCCTCAGTGCATCCCTGGTAGCACTCCAGAGGAAGCTGAGCTGGGTCTGGAGTGGGAGCAAGGGACTGGCAGGCAAGGGGAACAAAGAGGGCAGGTGGAAGAAGAGAGTGTGGTTGTGAGAACCAGACAGAGAGCAGATGCTAAAGCTGGAAGTGGGGAGAGTCCAGTTTCTTCCTCCTCCCCTTTCCTTAGTCTGTGGTAATAAATGGAAGGAGCAGAAATGTGGGCTGTGGACATGTGGGAAATGGGGGAGTTGTCTCTGGAATTCTGCCAAGAGGAAGTGTTCTGGTAGGGCCTACACCCTGAATACAGGATTTTCTTATGGGGCCCCTGTCTGGATATGGGTTATGCTTGCCTTGTGGTTTGGGAGAGATGTTCCCAGACCTTGACAAACTTGGCATCCTCCTCTGCACCTGGTGGCTGAACCTGTCCGTGGGTCCTGGAAGAATATTCCCAGGCTCAGAGGAACCTGTAGGGCCCCTACTGTGTGTGTGTGTGTGTGGGGGGGGTAATCAGGGAACATGGCAGGTCCTATGACTCAGTCAAGTCTCAGCTTTCAGAAGGAAGCTCTGGTTTTTAAACCAACAGGCCTTCTATTTGTGAAAGTCTAGCCTGGTGTATCACCTGTGTCTACTCTGCAGGAGTTGAGGTGCGGGAGGTAAAAGAAGGTCCAAGAGGCACTTCCGGAAGCCTGGTGTGGACACAGAGCAGGAAGCTTGATAGCTTTATCAGAGCCAGACACCCAACTGTCTGCTCTTCTGCCCCGGGCCCCTCAGTTCTCAGGACGATGTTAGGATCCCAGACACTATTGTCTTAAGCAGTTCAAGGACATATCACTGGCTTTCTGGTAGAGTTTGGAAACCCATCTTAGTTTATACCTTTTTTCCAGGCAATCCTTAACTTCAATCCAGCTAAGTCAAGACCTCTCCTCTCTACCCTGTAAGCCTGACCACCAGTTGCACTGTCACAGTGGGATCTGAGCCAGGTCCTTTAACTGCTTTGGTGTTCCACTGTTTTCTTAGTGGACTCTGAACGTTCCCAAACTGAGTTCTGTAGAAACCAAAGGGCCTTTCCGTGGACTAAGAACAGAGCAAGAAGCACTCATGTTAGTCAGGGGTGGATAGCTGCACCAGTCAAGGCAGGAATTACTCACATGAGCGATGAGGGTTGAGAGCTGGAGGGTGTAAAGACAGAGCCCATGAAAATATGGGGGAAAGTACTGGACAGACTGAAAGGACTGTGATATTTGGGAGAGTGCCTCCAGGAGAAGGATCTCAGAAGAGCTTTGCTGGAGCATGCCAATAAATAGGGTGGGAAATCACATTTCCTTAGTTGATTCTGATTTCTATCCCCCTAAGGCAGAGGGAGAACAGAGTCTGTACTGTGGCTTCAGGGATAGGGCTAGAGGACCAGAACAGGCACACCCGATGCCCGTAGGTGCCAGCATTCAGAGAACGCTGTCAGAAAAGTATGGCATTTTGTCATGCCAATATCAAATCAAATCCCTGTTTCTCTAGTTCCTTGTGTGACCTGGAGTAATTGTGCTAACTGCTCATAAACCAAATTCCTTGATACATCATATGGGGCCATTAGCAAAGAGTTACAGAGCCAATAGGCTGACAGTTCCCTAGAACAGTGCCTGGCATGAAGACTTAGCAAATGCTGCAGCCCCTAAACCCTGCTCTCCACATCCACCTATGTATACAGTCCCAGGACTGGTGAGTACCTCTCACAGGCCCTATTTATACCTTGCAGAGCTGAGCCAGGTGAACCAAATGATGGAGCTGGACCCTGCACCACCTGTTCTCAACCAGACTGTACTGGTCTCTGGGCCGGGGCCCTTCATCCTGTTGGGGGTGCCAGGACTGGAGGCCTGGCATGCCTGGCTTTCTGTTCCTGTGTGCTTGCTGTATATTGCAGCTTTGGTGGGAAATGCCCTTCTACTGGGATTGGTGGCAGCAGACAAGGCACTTCAGGCACCCATGTACCAGCTGTTGGGGCTCCTGGCGATCACTGACTTGGCGCTAGCCACCTCCACTGTGCCCAAAGCGCTGGCAGTGCTCTGGGGCTTCTCAGATGAGATCTCTTTTGGGGCCTGCTTAGCTCAGCTCTTTGTTGCCCATGTGGCCTTCATTGCCGAGTCCTCAGTGCTGCTGGCCATGGCTGTGGACCGTTATGTGGCCATTTGCCAGCCTCTGCGCTATGGGGCCTTACTGAGCCAGCGTGTAGTTGGTGTGGTGGCTGTCGCTGCTGTGACCCGGGGTGCCTGTGTCATGGCGCCTCCTGTGGCCCTGCTCCAGAGACTGCCCTACTGTGGGCGGCGGGCACTGCCCCACACCTACTGTGAGCACATGGGAGTGGCACGACTGGCCTGTGGTGACACACGCCCCAACGTCTGGTATGGACTGGTCACCACCTTGCTCTCTCCAGTTCTAGATCTGGGCCTCATAGGTGCTTCCTATGCTTTTATTCTCCGTGCTGTCTGTCGCCTGCCATCCCACGGTGCCCGTCACAAGGCCCTGGGCACCTGTGGGGCCCATGCCAGTGTCATCACCCTCTTCTACACACCTGCTCTCTTCTCCTTCCTGACTCACCGTTTCGGCCGCCATACAGTGCCCAGCCACATCCACATCCTGCTGGCCAACCTGTACGTGGTGGTGCCCCCAGCTCTGAATCCTGTGGTCTATGGCGTGCGCACCCAGCAAATTGCATTGAGGCTCAGGCACTTGCTCCGACTCTGCTGGGTGGGGCCAGTGCAAGTGGTGGGCCCTGAAAGGGAAGAATGAATGAGCATCCTGTTTTCTCCTATGAGTACATTGGGCCACCAAGCACTGCTGCTGTACCTGTCTGGATTCAGCTCTGACTAGGTCTCTGCCAATCATCATGACCATCATCTGCCAATCTGGGGCCTCATCCTCATCCCATCCCTCTACCCTTTACATAGGCAGGATGTACAATGACCTGACCTTGCCCTGCCGGGGTGCGCCAGCTGAGGCAAGTTCTGCTCTTTCTACTTCTGTTTTGATCCCCACAGAGGTATCACTGACCTTTAAGAAGATGGTTGGGCCTAGGCTGGGATAACCAAGGAGGGCCAGGACACAGCTGGGCGGGAATCAGGACCTTGTCTGCTCCACCACTGCTCAACTGGCAACAGATTATAAAAGTTGGCTCTGAATGGGGCCGTTTGTACAGTGTGTGACACAAAGGAGGAAATCCATGTTTGCTGAAGGGATGAATATAGGAGGGGCTGGGGAAATGGCACCATGTGAATAAAACTTAACGTAACTCTGCAAACTGTCCTGGTCTCTGACCTGGGTGATGGATACCTGGGCCCCAAGTTACCCGTGGTGCTGGGAGGGAAAGGAATGGATCAATATGTGGCTGCCTCCCTAAGTTATTTCTCTCCTTTGCTCACATGTGAGCCATCTTCTCCTTCTCCAACTTGGATTAGTCATAAAAATCTAGAAAGATGATCCCAGCACTAATGATTAGGCTTCATGCTTTCCTGACCCCTGTATCCTCCTTTCCCTCTCTCCTGCCCTCCACAAAGTTCTAGCAACACCCACCTGTACACTGAACATGGAGAAAGTTTTCCACTCCATGCAGTTTAAATTGTCCAATTCATTCCTCTCATACCTCTAGCCCCTAGTACCTCTGAATCCCATGGTACAAAAAGAATGGGCCAGAGGGCTTGATGGAGAATGGAATCCTGGCTTGGGGCAGGTGGGTGAGAACCCATAAAGTAAGGTACAGGTGTGGTCTCTCACCCACAGCCTCCTGGGAATTTTCCCTTAAATGGGAAGGTGAGCTTCTGTGCATGTCTTTCTCTACTAGGTATTATGTGTTGGGCAAAGGATTCCAAAGGATGTGATGAGTAAACAAAGGGCCTTTATGTTAAGTGGTCATAATATTAAATTGGAAAAGCAATGAGATTCAATAATGGTAAAGGGTACAGAGATCAGAGCTACAGAGACTACATTCCTCTATGGAAAAATGGGGGTAAAACACACCTCATAGTAAACTGATTTGCCCCTAGACTCTGGGGTGGGTGTGAGATGCCTGAAAAGCTCTCAAGAGACAGAAGAAGACAGAGGAAAGAGTTTAAGGGTGTCCACCTCGAGGCAATGAGTTATGACCCCTTCCCCAAGAGTCAAACTCCTTTGCTTTAGAGGGATGCCCTAGAGGACAGCTCAGGGAACTGGAGCCTCTACCACCCCCTTTGACTGGAAGGACTTTCTTGGAGGGTAGGCAGTGGAGTCTGGACGACAGGTCCCTAGAGCTGGGATTAGGGAGTAGATTTGAATAGTGGGGTGGGACTGTTTAGAGTAGCTGGACTAGATGGGGATTACTACACCTTAGGGGTGAAGCAAGGCCCTTGACAGAGCAGACCAGTATAGCTGCTGAAGCAACCCCCCAGAGCTACAACCTGGCCCCCATTCAGGGATGAATGGTTATGTAAATGGCTTCTCTCCTAGACACCAAGCAGGCAGTGTTACATTTCCTTTCCGAGTATTCCCTCCCTCACAGTTCAGGGAAAGACCCTAATCCTCCTTGAAAGGGATCCATCTCAAGGCCCCCAAGATGTCTCAGATTTATCTTAATCTGTTTGGGTAGGAGAGTGGGTTCCAGCTGGGGAGTGGGAAACTCATCTCCACCCCATCTTCAGAGGCACCGGCCTATCACAGCTCTTTCCTCCCACCCCCACCCCATAGGCCCCCCCACACTTGTCACACTATTAGATGTTGAAACTTGTGCTCCTCCCGTTGAGACCATTCACTGGGACTGAAGATAAAAGCCTAGAAGGCCGAGGTCGTGCTCCACTCTGACAGCTGAGTTAAGATGTGGCCTGTCCTGGCCACAGTCCTGCTGCTGCCCCTGGTCTTCCCAGGACAGACTCAGGTAAGTGGAGGATGGGGGTGGGAAGGTGGTGCTGTGCTTTGGCTAGGCTTCCCTCACCATGCTGATCATTTTTTTATTTTATTTTATTTTATTACAAAAGTTTATTTTTACATCATTTTGTACATTTTTTTTCCATCTCAGTTGTAATCCCCGCGGGTTTCCCATCACCAAGTCACCCGTGTGCCATCACCATAGTCCCGTGCATTTCCCTCCCCCCCACCCCGTTTTTGATCCCATTCCCCGCTCCACCCCCACAAAATGTCTCTGGTATATGGTTGTTCATTATTTTTGTTATTTTCCACCTGGTCCATTATACTCCTCCTATGAGTGAAACCATCCGGTATTTTTCTTTCTCTTTCTGGCTTATCTCACTAAGCATGATCTTTTCCAGTTCCAACCATGCTGATCATTTTTAAGAGTCTCCATGGTTTAAGGGAGTTGGAAAGACTTAGGTAGAAAGATGCCTAGACTTAGAATTGGAGGATATCTGGACAGTCATCACTAGCTCCAGGTGCAGAGAGAGCCACCACCCACCTGCCTCCTTCCCACAGTACAGAGTACCTGACATGCCTCATTGTGCTCAATGTGCCTGTCTGAGTCAGTTTTTTGTAATGGGTGAGTAGGGACTCCTGGAAGGAGAGGATAGCTCCATTAGATTATGTTAATTGCCCCTTGGTTTGTGTAGCATGAGGTTAGAGAGGGAAAATAAGGTGATAAAGGGAGCATTCTGGTCTGTACCCTGATCTTTTATGAGGCCTTGTATTCTGCAGATGTCTGCTAACTTTTCCTTGTGCAAAGGATGCTGGAACTAAGCGTGGTCAGTCTGAACTAGTGTAGGCATGCGAGCCCTGATTCATGATCCCCCAAACCAAACCTATTGACTGGTCTTAAAGTCTGAAGACGTAGTCAGATCAACTACCAGGTGACAGAATTTTGAGTGGGATGATGCAGAGAAGGACAGGGGTCACACATCTTAATTCTTGAAGATTCTGTAAGAAACTCTTATTTTGGGCCACAGGCCTGGTCAGTAACTTGGGAAGGAGTCTTTGATGTAGAGCTAGCTAACCTAACTTCAAAATGGGAGTGGTGATGAGCATAGGAAATTATAATTACTAAATAGATGACTCCTAACATAGCATAGTGAGTCTGTATAAATAAAATGTCTACATATTAATATATCTACACTTTATGAAATAAAACATAATTTCCTCATTTGCACACAAAGATGCCAGGACATGGAAGATAAGTAACTGACCTAATGTCAGAGTCAGAAGTAGAACTCAGTCTGGCTGTCAAATCAGTGTGTTTTAGCTCCAAGTAAGAATATGGGTAAGATGAGGCAAGAGGGAGGAAGACCCTGAAGCAGGCCTCTCTCATTTCTAGAACATTCCCTCTCCTGCTCTATTCAGCTGAAGCAGGGAAGCTGTCTCCCTTACAGCACCCTTAGGCCTGCGTGGCCTTCCGACTCCCACATGGTGTTCTGGGGCTCCCCTGGAGGAAACACACAGGATCTAACACAAACAGGACACCTGGGGGAAGTCTGGAAACTTATTGATCAATGAGTTAGACAAATATTTTTTAAATTCTCAGAACTTCTGGATTTCCAGTCCTAAAACACGGGTCAGACCTTGCCCTGGTCTCAGGAATGTTCCATATCAGTCCACTCACATGTATTTTATATCTCTAGAGAGGGGTATTGCAGAGCACAGAAGCCCCTAAGTGGATCTCTTAACATTTCACACCAGTTTGTGTCTGTCCCCTAGAACCTGGAGGAAAATCCAGCTTCTAGTTCTGTGAACTGCAGCCAGATCCAGCCAGTTTATGAGGTAGGGGATGAGAGTGGCCTTCCCAATAGGAGCTGGAAGCTGGACTACAGCTTCTGGGAAGTCAGGGAAAGGATTATTCACACCTGTGGTAAAAGCCTGCTCAGACAGGGTGCAACAGCCCAGGCGCAAAGAGCAGTCTTCTCAGGCACCCAGCCTGGACTAACCTGCCCCCTGTCCCCAGAGTGCAGAGTGCCCAGCATACTTCCTTATGCTTCATGTGCCTGTGGTCATGCTTTTACAGCTGGTAAGAAGTGTGCCAGGCCCTGGGAATGAGGATGGCATGTGCCATTGTGTGGTTCACCTGCCCGATGGCCTCATCTCCGTGCAGCAGCTGGAACAGCTATGGAGTAAAGCCCAGGTGCTGATGGACAGATATGAGCGGGCACTGTCCAGGGTGAGTGCTGGAGCCCTAGGCTGGGACTGGGCTATGAGCAGGACAATCACAGTTTCTCCTGGACCTAGCAGGAGCCTTGGTGGCAGAGACGGAGCTGAAGGAATCACAGTCCTCATCTTTGAGATGAGTTCTCATCTTATGAGTATGAAGGGAAAATTTGGTACTGATCTTGGGACCTTCAGTGGTCATATCAGGATAGAGAGGCTATAGGGGGTTGCTTTCCTTATTAATGGATGAATGAGTGAGTATGAATCAACTGGGAGATGGAAAGTGGATATAACAATTGCGGATGGAAGTGCAATAACAAGTGCCAAGGAGGCAGAAAAGAGTTTGAAGAGTTTAAAACAGATGCTGTCTGTGCAGGGTCTGTGGGTCAGACTGTTGAGTTTGAGAGTGGCACTACTAGGGTGAGTGAGTGGAAAATCAACAGCATGAAGTGGGCAATTATTATTATTTATTTTTCTTGTAATGCTCACATTTTGATGCTGGGGAGTGTTGGGATGACACCAGATTGGAAGCTGGGAGTGCCCATGCACAACCTCAGCATGCCATGCCTAACAGTGTGGCTCTAGTCAGGACAAAAAGAGAAAACCTGGGTGACGTAGGGAGAAGGTTTTTCCTCCTGTGATATAAAGGGGGATCTGAGTCCTTAGTTGTGAAATGGGGATAGTACTGATGTTCACCTCATTAATAGAATAAAAGGACTATTAATGGCAATAAAAGAGGTGACAGAAGCGATAACTTGTAGGCTCAGTGGACTGTTGGGATGGGGGTGGGTGGGCAGAGCCACAGGTGTGGAGGAGCTGCCTCTACTCTCCCACCTCCCTGCTAGGTCGGTGGCAATGCATGTGCCGTGGAAGGTCATGATCAGCAGGACCTGGAAGGAAACAGCACTCTGGAATCCATGCATCCCAACATCCTCACTTCCTCCTATGAGACCTCAGTTTTCAACCTGCTGCACCAAGAGTTGGAGGGAGCCCAAGAGTTGATAACCCAACTTAAGGCTAAGGGAGGAGACAGTGGAGCTGACGGCCTCCTCCACCAACTCCAGAGCCAGGTACGTGGATAAAGTAAAACAGCTCTCCCCCACAGCTTCAGCTTTATCTAGACTCACAAATCTGGCAATTTCCCAAATAAGTTCTTTTGGGGGTAAGCCTCTTTTCAGGTCTCCAAACACTCTGTGACCTCTGTCTTGACATCTAACTTCCACAGGTGGCTAATACCAGTTTCACATTCAAGCTTCTGGCTGACTCTGTCCAGAGCACCCTCCGTGTCCTCCACCAGGAGGTGGATGTCCTTGAGGGCCAGCTGAGCCAGTGTGAGAGGGAAAAAGAGCAAGAAGAGTCCTCTCCACATCCTGGTCTATCCCTGCCCCCTGGTGAGGTCCCAGCATGAGTTTTCCAAACCTTAGCTCCTTACGTGCAGTGTTGGGAATGCAGGGCTAATTATGGTGCACTGGAGGTTGGGTAGATGCAAAGTCTTCTTTTCACTGCTTGGTGTATCGCTAAGGGATGGAGACTGACACAGGTACAGGCACACCACATGCACAAACACATCCACACACTCCTAATCAGACGCATACACTAACCTGCACCCACACAAGATCACACCTGCCTGCACACTCATGTATGCACTCAGATATATGGACACATCTCAAAGGTACATGTGCATGTTACTCCTTCCTACTTGGCTCCCTGTGGGTTATGTGCCTCACAGCTAGCTCACACTTTGCCTGCACTCTTTAGGTTCTTGTGCTCATGGAGGCCTCCAAAAGGTCAGCAGACCCCTTGTGGTGCAGCTCAACTGGAGAGGCTTCTCATACAAGGCAGGTGCCTGGGGCAGAGACTCAGCACCCAACTCAGATTCCTCCCTCTATTGGGTGGCCCCTTTGCGGGCAGATGGCAGGTAAGTCCAGGGTGATTTCTGTTCTGCAATCACATTCATTTCAAATGTTCCCTAGAGGACCCACCAGTTCTCTTTGAGCCCTACCCCAGCTAGCTCTCTCTACTTCAGGTATACTTCTGGGCCACACTAGCTCAGGCCTGGCAGTTTGCTTCCTAATGCACCCCTCATGGATTAAGTTCACCTACTAAAGTTGGCCTCATGGGTGAAGGATGGTTCTAATTGTCCCGACTGCCTTCACAAATGCACTGGCTCAAATTTCTAATTCCATTGACTCCAAAGTTTGTTCTATCACTATCCTGTTCTTATATCAAAAATAAGATTTTTTATACCTGGGCATTAGGTTTTATTTTCTACTTAGAAGTCTAGAGGATTAACTACCAATCTTGATTTGGAGTCAAAGAAATCTGAGTTTGAGTCTTGGTGTACTTCTTGGAGAAATGCATTAGCATCTCAGAGCCATTCTTTACCCTCTGTAAAATGAGGATAATTACGTATATGAGAACATCACAAGAAATTATATAGAAAGTTGGTGGACTACATACTAGGTGCCAGTACATATTTGATAGAAGAGAGAATGATTAATGAATTGATGCACAGATGAATGTGTCTTTCATAAGAAGACTAGGGAACTAGACCTGGCCAAGGAGATAGACTAACAGACAACAGATTTAAAGTCCATACTTATAGAAGTATGAATCTTGAGGCTCTTCCTTGTGGTGCAGTGGGTTAGGATGTAGAACTGCAAGCTAGCCACAGCCACCTTAGTGCAGGTTCGATCCCTTGCCCCAGAGGTGATCCACATGGCACAGCCGACCTCTCCTGATCCACCCACTGCTCCCCTCAGCAGTGTACTTCATTGATCTACCTGTTCTGCTGACCTCTCTGTCTCTGACCTCTTACCACCCCTGGACCTCTGGCTTGTACCCCAGTTCTGTATGCATAATTAAATAAATTTGTAAAAAAAATTTGTGACTCTTGAGTAGGAGGTCATGGGAGGGAGAGAGAAATGTGAGTTCAAAGTCATTGAAAAGCCTAGCAGAATTTAATTTCAGAATGATTTGCATCACTGATAATGCAAATGATAAAACTTTACAGACATTTTATATCATATGAAACACATTTACTTGCCTTCGCATTTTAAATCCTTTCAAAAATCTCTAAGGCAGGATTTGCTGCCTAATGATAGAGGGTAATACTCATAAGACAGAGATAAGTTAGAGGATTTTCCAAAAAGATCTCAACACAATCTCCATGAGGGAAGCTAGAACTACATCCTGCTCAAGGGCAGATGAAAAGTTGCAAAGTTTAGGTACAGGAAAGTAGCCTTGAAGAAAAAAAAAATAGCTATCTTGTAGATCCTTACTTTGAGGTAAATACTGTACTAATTGTTTTATTTGCATTATTTTGGTCAGTTCTGGCATGCAATAGGCTCTTTTGTTATAGATTTACCTATGAACTGAGTGACCAGGGGCAAGCTACTTAACCCTTCTGAGACCCAACCTAGTTATCAGGAGATAAAACCTTTCTTAAAGTGCTTTTATTATAATTAAATGAGCTAGTGCACGCACAATGCACATAACTACTGCTGAGGATGTTAATATTATTGCTACTGTTTTATGCTTTTTTTATTTATTTATGCATGCAGACCTGGGGTACAGGCCAGAGATGCAGGAGTGGCGAGAGGCTTCACCAGAGACAGTGGGGAGTAGATCAGGCAGCTAAACAAAGTACACTGCTGAGGGGAGCAGTGGGTGGGTCAGGAGAGGTCTGCTGCACTATGTGGATCACCTCCCGGGTGGGGATCAAACTCACGCTGAAGTGGATTTTAGCTTCTTAGTGTTGTGCTTTAACCTACTGCACCACCAAGGAAGGCCTGTTTTATGCTTTTTAAAAACAATTCTTTATTATCACAGTATATCATCAGTGAACAAAGAGAAATTAAGTCAGTTGTTGATTCTAAAACCCCCAATCTTAATTAGAACACTAGCCCTGTCTATTTTTTATAATACATGTTTGTCCTGCATTTTCTCACTTGCTACCTCTGGCATGGGGTTTGGCCTAGGTACTTTGACTACTACCGACTGTACAAATCCTATGACGACCTGGTCCTGTTGAAAAACTCTCAGGAGTGGAAGATGGGCTATGGTGATGGCAGTGGCAATACCGTGTATAAAAACTTCATGTACTTCAACTACTACGGCACAGCGGACATGGCCAAGGTGGACCTTTCCTCCAACACTCTGGTGCTGCGGCGCCCTCTGCCAGCCGCCACCTACAACAACCGCTTCTCCTATGCTGGCGTGCCTTGGAAGGACTTAGATTTTGCTGGTGATGAGAAGGGACTGTGGGTGCTCTATGCCACTGAGGAGAGCAAAGGCAACCTGGTTGTGAGTCGTCTCAATGCCAGCAGCCTAGAGGTGGAAAAAACCTGGCACACCAGCCAGTATAAGCCAGCCCTGTCAGGGGCCTTCATGGCTTGTGGTGTGCTCTATGCCTTGCGCTCACTGAGCACCCGCCAGGAGGAGATCTTCTATGCCTTTGACACCGCCACTGGGCAGGAGCACCACATCAGTGTTCTGTTAGATAAGATGCTGGAGACGTTGCAGGGCATCAACTACTGCCCCTCAGACCGCAGGCTCTATGTCTTCAATGATGGCTACCTCATGAATTATGACCTCAGTTTCCTCACACTGAAGCCTAAGCAGCCAAGACCACCAGCCAAAAGGTCCTCTGGGGCTGGGGATCCACCCAAACCCATTAAGCCCAACAAAATCTCTGGACCCTGACCCAGGGCAGAGCATGGGTGGCTCTTCCTCCTCCTCCTCAGCCTCTCAAATCGCCACATCAGCCTGATAGTTGGGAGACGTTGATTATATCTAGTTAGTTCCTTTCATTGACATCTCAATCAGCACATTAAAGAGCTCTTAATAATGGTCTAGGTGGTTTAATTGGGGGGTTGATTGGGAACAACACTAGCTGGGAAATGTTACCCCTCCTTTGATGCAGGACATAGAGTCATTGTTTCAAAAGAAGTCTCATATCTTATGTTTCGAGCATTGTGAATCCAGTTAACTCAATTCTAGGATGCTGGGAATCTGGTTTAGAAGTATAAGCCTGGGTTTTATCCTCTGATTCCAGTGCAGAAGATCCAGGTTGCTGGTTATGAGAGTGGGGTATAGAAGTTTCCTCTTAAAATATCTAAGCTCCTGGGATGGGGGCACCTGGGAGACAGTGGGGGTAGTATCTTGGTGTGGAAATCAATGTTTCACTGTCCTGAATAAATTTAATGTTGAGGGTAGTGGAGAGAGGAGTTTAGACCTGACTCCTGCTATAGACAGAGCTGCTGACAGCATAACATGAAGGGGTTGGGGTTCAGAGGCCTGTTGTGGAATGTACTAGTGTCAGACATTCCCAGCAACTGAGCTTCTTTGCTCATCTTCAACACACCAAAACGTAAAGACCTGGACACTCTGCTTATTATATACTCCTGTAAGCGGTTAGAGAACGCTGGCCTTAGGCTCAGCCTAGGCGCTTAGACTACTACCAGCTGTATTTGTCAACGTCTCACACCCTGAAATTGTCACAGTCACACAGAGGAGACCAGAATACTCCACCCTGTCTCACATTTATTTTAGCACATGACCAGGTGGTACCCAGTGAACCCCAAAATTGCATGTCTAAAGATCCAGCCATTTATGTGTACAAAGGCAAAGCAGATTCTTAGAGTGAAAGAACTTTAATGGAATTAATGTGCACAGAGAAGGAAGAGAATAGAGGATATTACTAAGAGTTCCCAGTTAAATACCCCACATTACCTATCCCCTTGTGGGCAAATGGTTGGCCAAATAAAATTGGCCTGAAATGGTGTGGCTAAGACCCAGAAGTCTGAGACACCTCTGGCCAGAAGCCATCTGAACAGGATTCTGAAGCAGGTCCCAGAAAGTGGGGACAAGGAGCAAAATAAAAACGCAAATCAAAATAAGGAGTCATTCATTGTCAGTCTCCCCATGTGTCTCTCACCCATGCGTCTCTGTTAAATGTCTCTGTAATTCTCCATCAAGTGTCTTCTTCCATGACTCCTTCTCAGAAGTCCCAACGTGCATCTTGGGCTGCAGAAGCAAGAGTCCTCTCCTCTAGCCACCTGTGTTCGCTGGCCTTAGCTTCACCTGGCCACTCAACTCCACCCATGTTAAGTGGACATTGCTCTAACAGTTATGCCTTCACAGTACATAGATTCACAAATGTTTATCTAATCAAACATGCATCCTCACTTGCAGATGTACAGATTTCCATTCACACCCAAACATCAACATACACATTTACATTTTACATAGACATAAACTTTACATAGTCAATATACATTTAAATATGTCCACTGACAGAAAACTAATTTGCTCTCTGAATAAAGTGAGTCACCTTCACCATATATCTGTGAAACTGTGAATCTGGCTTTTTGATTCCCTAAACCTGTCTTCTTAAGAACACTACTAGTAACGACCTCCACTCCCACCTCTTGACATACAGGTATCTCTCCCCTTAAAGCTTTCACATAAAAGCAAGCCTTTGAGATGGGACCAGGACATTGATATGAATATTTCTAAAGTCTCTGCTAGAATGATATTCAGAAATGACTAGGCCCTCCCTGTTGCTGCAACGGGTTAAAGCTCAGCACCTGTCTGCAGCCACTGCAGCACAAGTTTGATCCAGGAAGGTGACCCACCTGGCACAGCAGATCTCTCCTGTTCTGCAAGCTGCTCCCCTCAGCAGTGTATTTCAGTACACCTTCCTGTTCTGCTCCCCACTCTGTCTCTGGTGAATCCTTACCCCCTGCTCCTCTGGCCTGTACCCAGTTCTTGTATACATAAATAAATAAAGAAAAGAAATAACTAAGTTTTAAGTGAATGAAACATACATTTGAAATGTTTGTGGAGGAATCTCCCTGCCCTATTTCTAGGGATGAAGTCTTTTCCCATCACAGGAGAGCCCCTTGATCAAGCTCAGAATCCTAAAATCTTTACCCAAAGGAAAATGCAACTTCCTCACTTCTGCTTAAGAACTTTCTCCATTTTTCCAAATCACTAGCAAAAATAATAATCTTCTCAATGGAAAAGACTCCATTCTGAACCACAGCTATATGGTTTTACCTATGGTTTCAACAGACATCACTTTTCCACAATAAGGTTGACCATTCCTACAAAAGTCTCACACACAACACTATAGAGAAATGCCCCCCCATAGTTTCTTTCTTTCTTAAGATTTATTTTATTTATTTATGCATAAAAGAAGTGGGGTATAGGTCACAGGTACAGGGGTTGAGAGAATTCACAGGAGACAGAGTAGGGAGCAGAATAGGTAGATCTACTGAAATACACTGCTGAGAGGAATAGCAGGTGAGACAGAAGTCAGCTGCATCATGTGGGTCAACTCCCTGGCCGGGGATCTAATTTGTACTGCAGTGACTGGCAACAGCTTGATAGTATTGAGACTTTAAATCCCACGCCACCAGGGTGGCCCTCCCCCTCAGTAGTTTCATACTGAGAACATTGTTCCCCAATTTTCTAGAAATTTTTCTTATTCCTTTATGGAGACCTGGGCCCTCAACTAGTCCTCCTTTCCCAACTAATCCTGGCAGAGGTTGTGAGGCTTGAGCTGACATCATAATATCCTGCTTTTGAAGCAGTGATGCTCTTAGGTGGGAGGGGCAGCCCAGGGATGAGTCATCTCCTGTTGGTCACACTGAAACCAGGATGGCTCAGTAGCCACGACAGACAGCAGCTGGGGTACATCTGGAGAGCTGGGGTGAGGGTATAACATCTGAAAATACCTGGCCTGTCTTCGTCACTCATCACTTTTTTGAACAAGAAAACTAGCTTGTGACTTAAGAGCACAACACCGAGACAGAGGCCAGAGGAAATATTTGTCTGCCCTCACCCCTTTGGCTCCTGCTTCCGCCTGCTTCCCACCTGCCCATCCACACAGGACCATGCCGCACATTATCTCTCGAGCATCCAGGAGGTCCCACCATGGGTATCCTTCAGGTCTGCCTTCAGGCAATAACATGCCTTCCAGTATCATTCGTGTAATAGTGAAAAATGCAGGCCACCAGGAGGACTTTATTGTAGCTGATGACACTTCAGTGAGGCAGTTTAAGGAGAAGCTCTCTGCTCACTACAAATGCCAAATGGACCAAATAGTGCTGGTCTTCATGGGTCGCCTTCTCAAAGACCATGATACACTGAGCCAGAGGGGCATCCTGGATGGCCACACCATCCATTTGGTCATCAAGTCCAAAAATGGCCCCAGATCCAGAATCCTTCATTCGCAGAACCTGCCAACCAACGAACCCTGCCTTCAGCACAGAAACACCAAAGGAAAGAGTGGATTATGCCCGCCTGCTGGTGTGAGTCATGCCCCAGGGAAATCGGCATACCTTGTGGAGTCTGAAAGGCCCAAGGAGCATACCCAAGAAGCGGAAGTGGGAGGTACAGAGCATATAGCACAGATGCTGGTGAATCCTATCATTCAGCGGCTTCTGTCCAATGTGGACCTCATGAGACAGTTCATTGCAGAACACCCAGACATACAACAATTGATGCAACAGAACCCGGAGGTCTCAAACATCCTTGACAATTCTGAGATTCTGTGGCAAACTCTGGAATTGGCCAGAAATCTTGCCATAATTCAAGAGATAATGCAAACCCAGCAACCTGCACAGAATCTCGAGCAGCCTCTGAACCCACAGTCATGCCTGGGATTAGAGACGATCTCAGGTGGGGACAATGTCTTGGGTCAGAGTTATGCTGATTTCAGTGACCAAGTGCTCAACAGTTTGCATGATCTCTTTGGTGGCAACCTTTTCACGGCTCTTCTGGAAGGGCAAATACCAGAAGTTGATTCCTCACCCCCATCTCCACCACCTCCTCAGGAACAGTGGAACCAGCTCTCACAGCTTCCTACTACTCGAGTCATCTATGCTAGTTCTCACTCTGGTTTAACCTCGATCAACTCATCCAACACTACCCCTAACAGGGCAAACCCTACTTCCAGAGTCAATACTGCCACTATCTCCACCAAAATCCAGAGTCAGACATGTGCCATTCAGCAGCCCGTTGGGGTACCAGCTTTACCCAGCATAGAGCTCTCCAAGCAGTCCCAGGAAAAAGACAAACATGTCACCATCTCTTCAGATAGCTTTGACCAGAGCTCAGAGGAGGATCTCCAGCAATCGGATGAACCAAGCAGCTCCCAGATCACAGGAAACATGATGCAGTTGCTTTTGAATAATCCCAACCTGGCGGCCCAGATGATGTCGTTCATGAGCTTGTCCCAGCTAAGTGAACAGTGGAGGCAACCACTGCTCACATTCCTGCAGCAGACACAGCTTTCTGACATGCTTTTATCCCTGATCAACCCCAAAGCATCACAAGCATTATTGCAAATTGAGCGGAGCCTGCAGACTTTGGCGACAGAAGCTCCTATCCTTCTACCCTGGGTTGCACCCTATCTGTGGGGTCTGGGCTGGCTTCCTGCCCCCTGCTGCAGCTACTCTGACACTGTGCCATCCACCAGCAATATGCTAGATATGACTGAGTCCAAAGTGTCTGAGTGCTGTCACACTCTAGAACAGTCCCTCAGAGGTTGCAATCCCTAGCTGATGACCCTCCTGACTTCTACAAGTCCCTGAGATTCATGACAGCAAGCAGATGGAATCTCTACAGGCCTTGGGATTTGGGAGCCACCAAGTCAGCCTGCAGGTACTGATGGCCACGGAGGGGTACACCAATACTGCTATCCGCAAGCTCAAGCAATCCCAAGGATGCTAACCACCGTGTCTACTTATCTGTTTGTTACCTGCCTGCCGACCCATAAGACCATCTTACCTGACTTTCTACCTCTTCTGATGCTTCCAGTCAGGAGAAGTCCTGGAATAGGAGAAAACATTCACAGCTTTCTCTACTGAATAACAGATCATTGGTCATGGCTGGAAGATCTGTTAATAAAATGGCTACACTCACTTGTCCTCATCTGAGGTTTGGCTTTGTTTCTTTCACAGGACAATGATCTCTGTGTGACATTCCTATGTCACATCCATCCATAAACACACACATCCACACTCTACATGCTTACATTAATGTAGAGATATACTGACATACACAGAAGCACATGCAAAGGCATAATACCATGACCACATATGCTAGAACAAGCCTCTGTAGTCTCAGATAGGTGTACACACATACACCAGCTTGCATAGCTATATTCACACACCTGGGCTCATCAACTCAACACACAGGTACACACAGTCATGTGCAGACACAATTGTACACGAATATCTAGAGACACATAACAAGACCCACACGTGGGGAAGACAGTCATCACACCCATGCCAGAAGGGAAAGTACATAGATCTAGATTATTTAATACTAATGACTTCCTCGATTTCTCAAATCCAATCTTTCAAGTATGAAAGGAGAAGAAGAATGGCCTGGGAGGCCAGAGTAGGAAAAATTCACATTTAGCCAGGACTTGGTGAGTATTTATCCTAATGGGAGTCTCTTACTAATTGCTATTGTCACAAATGTATGGCTTTTTCTAGTCAGTGACTGTTCACTCCTCAACACAGAGACAGCTCTGCTGCTTCCAATGCCTCTTTCAAGCATCACAAACTGAGGTCGCTGTGGGACAGGCCACCTTCCAATCAACCGCATCCACTAGCATAATCAGTGTTCGTGGTCTGTGTTTCCTATGGTCGGCAAGACCCCATCTCCTGCTCTTAGAGTCTCACCCAGAGTATCCCAGTCAATTGGTATGTCTTTGTAAAGGACTATTCAATTGCTAAATAATTTAACAAGTTAAATCATAAGGCAAACACCATTTTACACATCAAAAACAGTGACAAAACTAAGATTTTTAATTCATGGAGTTGACTTTTTTTGGTGGTGGATATAGACATTCAATAATATGTGAGGAGTAATGAGTGTTATGAAGACAAATCTACTTCAAAGAGAGAGTGGTCAGGGAAGGCCTCTCTGAAAACATGACCATTTAGCAGACTGCAAAAGAATTGAAAGGGTTGAACTTGCAGTTTCAAGTTCATGTTCTAGGAAGAATGTTAAAAAAATAGAGAAATTATTTTTTTCTCAGATTCCTTTGCTAAATTAATCTGATCTTTCAGACTTTAAATATTGAAGTACCCACGACTCAGAATTTTTATTTTTACCTTTTACTATTATCACAAATATCAATACTGTGATAAATTTGACTCATAATATTGAACTATCTTTCTATATGAATGAAATAAACATAAAATATTCTTCTTAGTTATAAGTAAAACAACTCTTAATTATTTGTCTAATAGCTTTATTCCATGGTCTTTTTTAAAATTCACTAGTCAATCCATTATTTTAGTTCTTCTGGTGTCTAATGCTATATTTGAAAAGTTAAACAAAATGTTCATGTCATCCTTGATCCCTCTCTCAAACTCTAGATCCTACCAATCAGAAAATCAGTAGCTTGAATGTATATAAAAAATTCAGAGAGGAGACAGGAACACAGGATAGCAGAAAGTAGCTGAATTTGATTCTTATTGGGGACACAAAGGATGATAGTGCCTTTCCTAATTGTTCCATCTCAGTTTGATTCTCCACAGACCATACATGGGGTGTGTGGAAGCAGGACTCTTGAGAAAGAACGGTGAACCCAGGCACTAGGAAGGAGACAATTGAGATACAGGAAGTGAAACAGTTAAAGTGTGAGGGAGATGGTGTTCCTTTATACTGGGAGACCTTGGAGAGGCCTCAAGAACCCATTAGATGACTCTGTGATGTCAGTGCTGAAGTCACAGAGAAGACCTGATGGCATGTGTTCTGGCCAGAAGGCTTCATGGGTGTCTGTGCAGCAAGATGAGGGCGGTTTGGAGCCCTGTATAAGAGGAAGGACGGGGCCACAGCAGATTGGTATGTGTGCCTCAAACTCGGCCCTTCTTTCTGTCTTGTCCCCTTTGCTTATGAACTGTAGCCCTCTTCCTCAGGGCCTCATATTTCTCTCCTATTACTCAACATTTCTAGAACCCAGAGTTTCCAAAATCCTCCTATCTCAGGGATCTGAAGGACCCCACAGTTCCTTAAAACTGCGATAGCAACTCCCCTGCACCCCCCCCCCCACCTTTTCCACTTTCACCACTGCCCAAAAGGATGACTTTGTCTCCCATTCCCACTTCCCCAGCTGTGTCCCCACAGATCTGGGCCTCCTGCTGCCCACCATGGCCAAAAGTGGAAAAACTCTGCCACAGGGCAGCCCAGTGCCAGTCCAGGATCCCCACCTCATCAAGGTGACAGTGAAGACACCCAAGGACAAGGAGGACTTCTCAGTTACAGACACATGCACCATCCAGCAGCTGAAGGAAGAGATAGCCCAGCGCTTTAAGGCCCACCCTGATCAGTTGGTCCTAATCTTTGCCGGCAAAATTCTCAAGGACCCTGACTCGCTGGCACAGTGTGGAGTGCAAGATGGCCTCACTGTCCACTTGGTCATCAAGATGCAGCGCCGCCCCATAGGCACAGAGTGCCCAGCTGCTTCAGTCCCTGCCTCAGCCCTAGGCCCTGGGCCACTCCCTCAGTCCAGCCCCATTTACCCAGCAGATGGCCCTCCCATCTTTAGCTTAGGGGTCCTCAGAGGCCTCAGTGGGCTGGATCTGGCCTCTGGCAGTTTGTCCGACCAACAGAGCTCACGGATGTGGCAGCACGTGTCTGTGCCTGAGTTCATAGCTCAGATCATCGATGACTCTTTCATCCAGGGTCTGCTGTCTAACACAAGCCTGGTGTGCCAGCTGGTTCTCAACAACCCCCATATGCAGCAGCTGATTCAGCATAACCCCGAGATCGGGCATATTCTCAACAACCCTGAAATCATGCAGCAGACACTGGAGTTTCTACGCAACCCTGCCATGATGCAAGAGATGATGCGTAGCCAGGACCGGGCACTCAGTAACCTGGAGAGCATCCCTGGCGGCTACAATGTGCTTCGTAACATGTACACTGATATCATGGACCCAATGTTGAATGCGGTACAGGAGCAGTTTGGCGGCAATCCCTTTGCTACTAGTGCTACTGTTACTGCTACCAGCAGTAGCAATCGGCCTTCAAGGATGGAGAACTGTGACCCTCTCCCCAACCCCTGGGCTTCCACTTATGGAGGCTCAGGAGGCAGGAGGGCCAGGCAGCCTGGCGACCATGATGTATCTGCAATTAGAAATAGGGTTCCCAACATCCTGGGTAATGTAGGACTCTCTGACTATCTACAGCAATTACATGATACCTCCCAGTCCCTGGGAGCCTACTTGCAGGGAATGGCATCCATCCTCCGCCCAAACCAAGAACCAGCGTCACAGAGAAACACAGTTCCCCCAACTTTGTCCCAGGACCCTGAGCCAGGCATACCGCTCCCCAGACAGACAGTAGCATTGAAGGGAAGGTCCTCCTGCCCAGCCTTCCTGAGACACCCCACAGGGAGCGGTACTAGACAAGGTAGGGGCCACAATGTTCCAGGGAACAGCTCCACTGGCCACAGCATCAACATGCCCGATCTTGTCTCAGGGTTGGGGGATTTTGCCAATAGGGTGCTATTTGCTCCTTCACCACCATTCCCCATGGCTGTTACCCCTGGAATCCTGGAGCATGCCTGGCTGCCACAGCCAGCCTATTCAAGGTCTCTGAGGCCAACCAGCATGTATCAGGCCCCACAGTTGCAGGGGGATATGCGCCAGCAGCTGCCGTTGCTGCTGCATCTTCAGGCATCCATGGCAAACCCTCGCGCGGTACAGGCCCTGCTGCAGATTGAACAGGGCCTGCAGCTCCTGGCCACAGAGGCACCTCGCCTGCTCTTCTGGTTCATGCCTCGCCTCACAGGGCTGGGAGGTCTGGCAGGAGTCACAGAGCCTAAAGAGGGAGCCATTGTGCCAGAGGAGCTACCCACAGCCCCAGCTCCTGAGGTTCCTCTAGTACAGGGCTCCATGGAGCAGGGGCTGCATTCCACCCCCTTCCTCCAGATGCTGCAGGCCTTGGCTAGGGCCAATACCCAGCAGCTGCAGCCTGAGACTCACTTCCGGGTACAACTAGAACAACTTCGGGCCTTGGGGTTTCTGAATACTGAAGCCAATCTCCAGGCTCTCATTGCCACGGGAGGTGATGTGGATGCTGCTGTGGAGAAACTGAGGCAGCCATAGACACCCCAGTTATTTAGACCATATCTTTTCCTTTGTGTTTTCCCCCATCCCCCAACTCCCCATTCTGGAATGCAGCTGCACTATGAGCCAAATTTACTATGATGCCCTTTCCTGTGGAGACAATGTCGTTCAACACAATGAGGAGGAACATGAGCCAGAAACAGGGTAGGGGTGCTCCATATGACCTGACCACCCCACTGTGCCATTGTGGGGCCCCAATCTGAGCTCTGCTTATGCCTATCTTGAGATGCAATTACATCCAATCTCCAGTGCCTCTTACTTCCTGTGTCTGATTCTTTGTGGACGATGAGAAAAAGGGACAGTATAGAAGGGGTGGGATAAGAATATCTTTGCATAGATGGGGAGGATTTGGAGGAAAACCAAAAGCTTGAAATTAGAAGATTCAGAGGTATAAAGAATAGAGGGGGACCTAAGGTCTGTAGCTTTCCTACTGTCCTCCTTGAGTTCCCCAGATTCTGTGTCCTGTATGAATTGCCACCAGCTACTCTCCACTATCAGCCTGAGGCAAAAGTTGGCACAGGTTATTTTATTTTATTTTTATTGCTCATGAAGATTATTCCACAGGTGGATCTCATTTTCTGGATTTGCTGCTGATCCTTGAGTGGCTAAAGTAGGGCAAGATTCAGGTCAACATTTTTTTTTTTAAGATTTATTTATTTATGCACACAGAACTGGGGTACAGGCCAGAGGTACAGGAGTGGTGAAAGGATTCACCAGAGACAGAGTGAGGAGCAGAACAGTTGGACTGATGAAGTACACTGCAGAGGGGAGCAGCGGGTGGGTCAGGAGAGGTCTGCCAGGCCATGTGGGTCACCTCTGCGGCAGGGATCAAACTCATGCTGAAGTGGCTTTAGCTTCTTAGTGCTGTGCTTTAACCCCCTGTATCACCAGGGAGGGCCCTCAGGTCATCTTTTAAGGCTCTCTAACATTAAAGTTCACAGACTGAGAGAGTGGATTGATTTCATTGCTGTGGATGCTGCTTGTTCAGGATTTTGTCTTTCTTGCAACTCTTAGCTCAGAAGTTGAGTACCAACTCTGTGCCCAGCATTCTTTTGGGAATTAGAAAATCAAGAAGAGTAAAAGAAACATGATCTGATTTAGCAACATACATCTGTACGATATGTATAGAGGTAACTCCATATAATTAAAAGCTAAGTGCTTTATAGAAAAAGATTAGGACTGTGAAGTAGCATAATGGGCTTAATCTAGTCTGGGGAGAGGCTTGGGTGAGCAAAACTCTGAAATGTACTAAGAACAAAGTAGGTACAGATTTGAGGGGGAAGAATATTCCAGCAGAAGTGCTGTCATGTCCAGAGGTACAGAAGGAAGCTGTCCTAACCACAAAGTGTGCTCAACACCTCAGACTATACTAGTCTGCCTTCAGCGATGTTCTCTGCTATGTGGGTTCTTTTGGGGTAAAGTGTTACAAACCATAACTCAGGGTAGTGAACTATGCCTCCCGGAAAACAGACACACCAGTGTGCTCCTGGGCTTACTTTGGTAAGTGCATTAAAGGGAAATGCACAAACACATCATATAAAGCTCAGATTAACTTCATCTTCATCTGGGCACATTCTATTTTGCACATATGCCAAAGCACACACATGAACAGTGGGTTAAAGGCTGATTACAGAATAAGTGTGTAAACATAATATGATGCTATCTTCCTGTTGAGGAAGGAAAATGATCTCTGATGGAGGTTGCAGCTACAGTAAAATTGACCTATGTGCCTTTAAACATCAATGCCTCAGTTTGGGGTCTCAGTCTCATTAGGAAAGCAGAAGAAAAAAATCTGTCTGTGGAACCCCAGATACTTTGAGCACCCCTTCTTTATCTTTTTTTAGCAGCCAGCATGTGACTTAGATGAGACTACCTTTAGGTACAACTTTATCCCACAGTTTTAGGCCTCAGTCTCTCTAGGTGAAACACAAACCTCCCTTCTCTTCATTCTTTCTCTCCAATAGAGGGGGTGTTCTTGTCCAGATCACAGTTGCCCTTGTTCAAGGGTGTGCCCCATGAAGCCAGTGCCCTGGGACTGCCTCTGAAGGGGAAGGCGTATATGCTGTGGTAAAATTCATAGACAGGCATTTCTGAGAAGAAACATCTGGGAAATAAATTTTGTTTTTCTTTGACTTTTGCATGGGTCAAGGAAAGTAGGAGAATTCATGAGAAGTAAATTCTGCTGATCAGAGCAGACACTAATTACAAATGTAGACCTAAAAGTCTCAGTAAGGGGAGAGTATTCATTGAATGGATCAGTTCGTGAACAAGTGGAGCACATAGGCAAGGAATTGGAATTTTATCCTAAAGCTGAGAAGGAAAAAAACTTTGCCCTTCCCACAAGAGTGTCGTGGTCTAACTAAATGAACTTCAAAGATTATCATTACCTACACATGGCTCACATCTACTTGGAAAACAGAGGAAGGAGAAAACAGCCTGCCAGAAGGGCAAGACCAGACGTTTCTCATTTGAGGAGCCCAGGGTGCTCTCAGTAGTAAGGCAAGTTGGGTGCCATTCTTCCCTGGGGGACAGCTCCAGGTTACAAAATTAAATTCTCACTGCTTTGCATTGAGGTAAATTGTTGGCAAGCAACACTGAAACTGTATTACTGTATGTATATTAAGCTCTTTGTATAGTTTTAAAAAATAAGTTTATTTTTACATCATTTTGTGCCTTTTCCCATCTCAGTTGTAATCCCCGTGGGCTTCCCATCACCAAATCACCCGTGTGCCATCACCGTACTCCAGTGCACTTTCCCTCACCCATTTTTGATCCCATTCCCCACTCCATTCCTGTAAAATGTCTCTGGTCTATAGTTGTTCATTATTATTATTATACCACCTCCCCCACCCCGATCCTTTATGCTTCTGTTACAAGTGAAACCATCCAGTATTTTTTTTTTCTGACTTATTTCACTAAGCGTGATCCCTTCCAACTTTTTGCATAGTTTTATGTATCTAATAAAACTTATTCAGATGGGAAAAGCTGAACAAATCACTGAGAAGAATATGGGAATGTGACATGAAATGGCATCTTCAATATACTGATGATTAGTGTGTTTATTGAATCAGGTTGAAGCCCTCAACCTGATGAGATTTCTGGATGCTGTACTTCTTCCACCCATCTGCGGAGCATCTCCTCCAGCCATGCTTGGGTCTGTGTCTGGGCATTTGGCCACATGCCTGTTCTTTGGGTTACCCAGCCATGTATAGAGCTGACCACAGGGTGTGCCAAAGATTGGCAGTGACTGTAATGTTGGGAGCATAGTCAATATTTAACAAGTGTCCACACTTCTCAGATTTCTTGGGTTGCAGTTGATGTGCATTATGTCCTTGATTCTTCACTACAAATCTGTGAAAAGCAGCCATTTTATAGATAGTGAAGCCCAGGCTTAAAGAGGGTACATAAAAAATAAAGGTGAACAACTTGGTGATTATGGAATTGGTAGCACATGGGCCATTTAAAGTTCAAGTTGGACGTTTTTATAGTATTTACAGTCCAAATTCCCTTTTCTTTCAAATATAATTGATTCAATAGAAACTAGTTTTATTTTATAATTATAGAGGGAATATACATACTGTGTAAAATATTCAAACAATATCATCTTCTCTATTGCAAGTTTAAAAATTTATTTACTTAGGCATATAAGAACTGGGGTACAGACCAGAGCTATGGGGGGTGAGAGATTTCACCAGAGACAGAGTGGAGAGCAGAACAGGCAGATGGACTGAAATACATTGCTGAGGGGAGCAGCGGGCAAAACAAAAGAGGCCTGCCATGCCACGGGGGCCACCTCCCTGGCTGGAAATCGAACTATTGCTGCAGTGGCTGAGGATAGCTTCATGTGCTGTGCTTTAAACCTGTTGTGCCACCAGGCAGGGCCATCAAGTGCTCTTATGTTAAGAACAGTGCACGGTGTGAACAAGACTCCCTTATTGAGACACAAGTAGGTGAATGGACTTGGAAAGAACTTCCAGCTGGTGCTGGGGAAGGAGATACTCAGGCATCTTCCCTATAGAGTCTATAGGAAAGGAGATGAAGAGATGGCCCCCTCAAAGGCAGTGGGGAGGAAAAAAATCCCTGCAACCATGAGATAAGTGAAGGCAATTGTTACTTGGGATATTCTCCAGCCCCTTCTACACATTACTGTTCCAGCCAAAGAAAAGCCAGAAGCACTCATCTGAATATCTGAATCTGCTGGGAGCAACTCATGGGGGAATTTCCAAAAAAGGAATTAGTTTTGTTAATATTTGGATGATAGAAGTTCTGCGTTTGGGCATTTATTAGGAAATGCCAGACTGCTGGCAACCAGCCAGCCACGAAGCTGGTCTTGTAAATTAGAAATTACAATTTATCCACACCTTGATACTGGCTGGATGTGAGACCTAGTGATTCAAATGAATCAAGGAATAAGGGCGTTTATCAATATCCCATAAACCACCCAAAAGCAGACACACAGAAAAATAGCAACTACAGGAATGACTCACATGGGAGTGAGAAAAGGGAGAGGAGAGGGAGAGAGAATGAATCTACAGGCTGGCACTTGGCCAGATACTACTGCAGAGAGCGTTAGCTGACCGGAGACTTCTCCACAGACACACCATCTCACCTGCGGTTTATCCCCAGTCATTCTACATTCAAATGTCCACTGGCTTTACTACCCCAAATCGCCAGTTCAGGACGGAGTCTGGAAGCTCAGTCTTACACCATTAAGTATGAGCGCCACCTGCTGGCTCAAAGGTGCTTCACTGCTGCTTCACTGTTTCTCGTGCCTTTCCTACGCAGTTATACTCATTTCAAAACTCAAGTGTATCATTTCCAAAGTGAAATAGGCTGGTACAAAACAAATTTCTAGACAGGAACATGTTAATAATTTTCTATTTAAGTAAAATCATAAAGAGAGCCAGTCTCAGGATGTGAGACCTCTGCCCTCCCCCATTCAGGTCTCCCACTGTGACCACACCAATGACGTCATATTCCCCAAGGCTGACCCGGGAGAAGGGCAGCTGCCCTCCTATGGGAACCAGGTGGCTACAGGGCTACACTGTACAGGGAGGTGGCGTGCTTAGGGTCCTTAGGGTGTGGGTCAGGGACATCCCTGGATAACTACTGGTCCCTGCACGGGGTGTGCTCAGGTCTCCAACGCCGCTGGCACAGCTCCTCACGTGGCCTGTGTTCTGCTCTCCAGGAAATATGGCACGGGCTAGGGAAGAAGCCGGGGACAGCAGACTGGTGTCTGGTCGGGAACCATCATCACACATCATCAGAGTGTCTGTCAAGACCCCACAGGACTGCCAGGAGTTTATGCTGGCTGAAAACAGCAGTGTTCGTCACTTTAAGAAGCAGATCTCCAAACGCCTTCACTGTGACACTGACCGGCTGGTGCTCATCTTCATGGGAAAGATCCTCCGGGATCAAGACCTACTGAGCCAGAGAGGCATCCTAGATGGCACTACAGTCCACTTGGTGGTGCGGACCCATCTGAAAGGAGCTCTGCCCACGCCTGGAACTCTGCCAGGCCCCGCTGGACCCGGCCCCCATCGCGCTGACACCTCTTCCTCCGACAGCGCCGGCATGTTAGCCAGGCTTGGCCGGCTGGTCCGCTGCTCCCCTGACCTGGCTGACTTCCTCGGCCAGCTGATACAACTCATGTCCACCCCTGAATCTGTAGTGCAATCCCTTGAAGACCCTCTGGTGCAAGGGCTGGCAAGTGAGAAACCAGCCAATGTCAGCCACGTTCCTGAATCATCAAAGCCAGTACAGAAAACGGAACCATCTTCTAAGGTTCTGCGAACCTTGCACAACCCAGCCTGGCAGCAGGATCTTCTGCAGGCAAATAAACAGCGACTGGAGGCCCTGAAAACAGTGCCAGCGGGTGACAGCGCCATGCCTGCTGTCTGCTCGGATATCCAGCAGCTTATGCTCTCCACTCTGGCCCCACTGGTTGCCTCTAAAGGCCACAGTCCAGGTTCCGAGCCCTGCAGAGGAGAGGCTAATGCTCACAGCAGGACAGACACCATCACAGTGCCCTCCACAGCCTCTGCAGCTTCCAGGCCACTGGCACAAGAGATCAGACAAGAGGTCAGTGCAGGTTTAGCTGTCCAGGCTAGGGGGACAGTCTCCAGTCAGGCCAATTCAGGATTCAGGAATGGCATGCCTGACTTTGATCAGGAGTCTCCCACCCAGGAGAGCCAAGAGCCTATTGGGAAAGCTGCACTAACAAGTCAGCAGAGACCCTCACCCTGTGCCTTGCATCGAGCCCTGCATGTCCTGCAGCAGAATCCAGCTCTGCTACATCACCTGACCACTGGCAGTCCCCTACGCCATCATATACCACTGCTTCCCATTCTCGCCAACCCACGTGCATTGCAGGCGCTGCTACAGATAGAAAAGGGCCTGCAGATTCTGGCCAGGGAGGTGCCTGGGCTGGGAATTTACTTGTGGGGCACAGGTAGACCACGTGGGACTAGAAGAGCCCCTGAAACTGGAAGTAGAGGACAAGCCCATAGAGCAGACCCTCTGCCACCCACCTTGGCTGTTCTTCAGCTCCTTCATGCACTGGCCAGTGCCTGCTCCCAGTTTGCCCAGTGTCCACCATCCTCAGCTGAAGTCAGCTACCAGCAAGAACTGGAGCATCTGAAGGCCATGGGTTTTGACAATCATGATGCCAACTTGCAGGCCCTGATGGCCACAGGCGGAGACATCCATGCAGCCATTGAGAGACTGCTGGGGGCACCAGAAGCCTAGGTTCTTCCAGTTGATACCCACAATACACCACTCCATGGAGATGGAAGAAAGAAAGGGGAAGGGAAGGGGAAGGGGAAGTAGCTTATTTTGGGAATTCTTACTATTCAAGTCATGCATACACTTGCAAGCCCCTCTCTTATTGCCCAAGCCTGTTCTACATTAAAAAGATTGCTTGGATCTCATGTATGATGTTAATTTGAGGGTAAGTGGGAAACAAGAATATTATTGGAAAGAGGAATTGATCACAATACTATATTGTCTCAGGTCCGTGTTTTATACTCTAACCTCAAAACCCTAATTTCAGGGTTTTGTGTGTGCCATGAAGGAAATCCCCAATTTTTTTCATGTTTTTACTCCTTCTCAGTTGGCTCCCACTTCCCAGCTAACCTTACCGTGGATTCAAGCCTCAGGTGTGAGTCTGGAGTACAGAGTAAGGGGATCAGGTTTGTCTATCAGATCTTAGCTGGTGGCTTCATGGAGATGCCAGAAATTTAAAATCCTAAGAAAAGGATATTACAAAGACACTTGGATTCTGAGCAAGCAAGAATCTTTAATAAGGCACAATGGACTATGGTGGGGGACTATGGGTGATATTTTGGGTTTGCAGTACAGTGGTGATACTGAACAGGGGAGGATCACAATATTCTCAAAACTAAAAAAATTAAATTTATTAAGCTACTAAGGGATACTTTTATTGTTAACAGGAAAAGAAACAAAAAAATGGAGAATAGGAATGGGAAAAATACAGTTTTAATAAGTACTGTTTACATCCAAAGTACTATTTAAATATTTTAGAGCTGTTATCTAATAAGTGTTTTTTTTTTTATTTTACAAAAGTTTATTTTTACATCATTTTGTACATTTTTTTTTCCATCTCAATTGTAATCCCCGTGGGTTTCCCATCACCAAGTCACCCGTGTGCCATCACCATAATCACGGGCATTTCCCTCTCCACCCCCCCGTTTTTGATCCCATTCCCCACTCCACCCCTGCAAAATGTCTCTGGTATATGGTTGTTCATTATTTTTGTTATTTTCTCGCTTGGTCCATTATACTCCTGCTATGAGTGAAACCATCCGGTATTTTTCTTTCTCTTTCTGGCTTATCTCACTAAGCATGATCTTTTCCAGCTCCATCCAAGTTGCTGCAAAAGACATGTGTTTCTCTTTTTTGGTTGCTGAGTAATATTCCATTGTGTATATGTACCACATCTTTTTTATCCAGTCATCTACTTTTGGGCATTTGGGCTGCTTCCATATAATAAGTGTTTTTTATAAACATGTAAGAGTTGGGGTATAGGCCAGAGATGGGGTGGGTGGGTAAAAGGATTCACCAGAGACAAAGTGGGGAGCAGAACAGGCAGATCTATTGAAATATACTGCTGAGGAGAGCTTTGGGTGAGATAGGAGAGGTCTGCCACGCCATGTGGGTCACCACCCTGGCCGGGAATAAAACTTGTGCTGCAGTGGCTATATATAGCTTCACAGTGCTGTGCTTTAACCCATTGTGCTACCAGGGAGAGCCTATATAATAAAATTATCATAATAACCCGGTGAAGTTATATAAAACATTTGTGAAACAGTTATAACTTGGTGAATAATGCTTAGCAAGCTATATAGTTTATATGTTTTACATTAATTCCTAACCCTGCACCACAACTTGAATCGATATCAGCATCATTGTCCATTTAACACAGCCAAAGCATAGAACAACTGAGCAACTCACTCAATGCCACACAACTAGTAAGTAGAGGAACCAGGATTTCAACCTGGGAACTCTGATTCTAGACTTTGGCTCATGACTATCCACAGTGTTGGAATTCAGAATAAATTAACTACAAATATTCTTTTTCTATTCTACTTGGACTTACAGAGAAACATTCCCGTCATGAAGCCCCAACTCCTTTAAAGAGCAGGAACTAACTTGATTTTTAGTAAGTCAGACTTTTGGAGAAACAGTAAAAGTATTTGGAATTTAGTTCAGTGGCAGCAATATCATTGATGGAGCTTATTCCAAGGAGTGGTTATTGTTGATTGAAAACTTTTCTCCAAAGTAAAACCATTATTACCTCTTTGGGCAAGTTGCCAAAAGCCTTAGGATTATAGTATGTTCAGGGTAAATATTGATGTCTCTGATCATCTGACATTTCCTTGTCCTTTTAATGTTTCCTTTCGTGTGAACATTCCTCTCCTATCAGAGGTGAAGAACAGGGCCTACCTACCTTGATCTTTAGTAAGTCAGAGACTTGGAGAAACAGACAACTACCATACCAGTATACTTGTCTCTTATTTCACCTCTGCTCAGAATTCATACTACAATCTTCCCCAAGTGAAGCAGTTTTAGTAGTCGACTCCGAATCTCCTTGGTCCTGGCCCCGTAGATGATTGGGTTGAGCACAGGAGGCACCAGCACATAGAGATTAGCCAGAAAGATGTGCACATGTTTGGGGATTCGGTTTTGGCCAAAACGATGGGTGAGGAAGGAGAAGAAGGCAGGGATGTAGAAGACTGTGATGACTGCAAGGTGTGAGCCACAGGTACTCAGGGCTTTGTGCTGGGCATCACGAGATGGAAGACGGAAGACAGCACGCAGGATAAAGCCATAGGAGACAGAAATTAGGACAGAGTCCAGACCCATGGCCAGTAGGGCCACCGTCAGCCCATAGACAACATTGACCGTGATGTTGGCACAGGCCAGTCTAGCAATGCCCATATGTTCACAGTATGTGTGTGTCATAATACGGTGACCACAGTAAGGCAGTCGCTTCAACAAGAAAATGAAGGGGGAGACAATAGCCACACTACGGAACAGCCCAGCAAGGGCAATTCGGCCTATGACTGTATGGTTGAGGATGGTTGTGTATCTCAGAGGATTGCAGATGGCCACATAGCGATCAAAGGCCATGGCAAGAAGAACCGAGGACTCCAGAGCATAGACAGAATGGACACAAAACATCTGTGCCAGGCATCCATCAAAGGAAATCTTACCAGCATGGAACCACAAAATGGCCAGCATTTTTGGCACAGTGGTGGAGCTAAGAGCCAGATCAGTGAGTGAGAGAAGGCAAAGGAACAGGTACATGGGTGCGTGAAGAACACTGTCCAAGGCAATGACCAGGATGAGGGCAGCATTCCCAGACAGCGCCACCAGATACATGGCACAGAAGGGAACAGCAATCCAGATGTAAGCCCATTCCAGCCCTGGGATCCCGGTAAGAAAGAGCGTGGATGGGGGACTGGCATCACTGACATTGGGAGCTGGCATTCCTCTTGGCCAATCAAGAGCTCTCTCCATGGGTTGATGCTGTGCCTGCACGGTAACATCAGGTATTTAGATCAAATTTATTTATGTGGAATAATGACCCTTTACTGAATTTTTTAGAATGAGAAAAAGAGTTGTGATTAACTCGTTCAAGATCTTAAAATACTTGAACACATAATGCTTTGTTTTCCCTTCCGGCAATTTCTTATAACTCCCCATTCATAATTTGAGTTCCGAGTTTCCAGCATGAAACTATTTTATTTCATTTTTTTTAGTTTTTAGCATTTGTCCAATTTGAACCTTCAAAACTTATCTACCATACATCCAGTACACCATGTATTAACCTTTAATGTATCAAAATCTAGGCATGTGCCTAGATTCCCCCCCCCCCTCATTCCTACAGTTTTCTTACTTTCTTTTTTAAGCTTCCATGAATTTTCCTCTGCCTGGTAGAAACCTTTCCTGTCATCTGTTCTTTAGTCTTCCTTTATTTTCTGTTCATTCTTCAAATGCTTTGCACAATCCCATTGGTTGAAACTATGTCTTTTTGCAATTGTAAATTCCACACTGATCATGACTGTGTCTGTAGCTAGGCATTATCATTACCCTTCATTCAACATTACTGACTTTCAGTAACTTATCATTGATTTTTTTTTACTTAATGGTATAGTAACATATTCATCTTATTTTCTGAGCTTGTGATGTTTCTTCCATATCTACTAAATGACATCTTTTTTACACCTTAGCTAAAATGCCTACCTAGAGGTTACACAGCCTGAATATAGCCACATCTGTCATGACTGAGTTTCTACAGAGAATGGTTATATATGTGGGTACAATGAAGAAGTTGAGAGATGTTGGACATGTAAACTGGAGGGCAACTCTCCTAACCATGGCAACATTAATCCAAAGCTCTGCACATCCTCAGTGTACCAACTGAGGCAAGCAAGCTTAGCATGTAAAGCGCTGATGGGAGTAGATTCAGGGAGAAAAATGCAGTGTCCTGTGTTGCTAGCAGTAAAATGTCCCAGAAAGAAGATATGTTTTCACCATGAAGCTAGTTAGTACTTATGTATACTCTCCCTTAGAAACATATTGTGTACCTAAAAGAAACTTGCTTAGGATTCTGAGAAACTTAAATTTCAATCCTGATTCTGTAACAAAATGTTGTATGATTTTGAATACATTTCTCACTCCTCATGGCAGTCCCTGCAAAGATGACTCAGTGGTAATTCACTCATCTTTACTCTGCTGATTATGTGACATTGGAAAAATACCCAATCATTCTGTGCTTTCATTTCATCTCTAAATTGGGTATGGCATCCCCTGGTCTACTAAATTCACAAGATTTTGTGACTGAGCAAAATATCATCTTTATGTGATAAAAACTTTGTACTACCAAAATAATACCTCCTTTCCACAAATTCCTGAAAACAATACTATATGATTATTATGTGTACCACTAATTAACGGGAAGACAAATTTCAGAGAGATGATTTATGTATCCAAGTCATAAAGTATGTCAGTTGCAGAGCAGAAATTAGATTGCATGGACCTAGTTCAGAGTCACATGTTTTTACCTCACCCCAATCACTGTCAATATGACCGATATCTGGATTCTTATATATTTCAAGCAACGCATTTTTGTCTAATATCAATTCAGGATGTTACAACCACTTTATTCATTATGAGAATTCCCAATGTTAAGGAGAATTTGTTCTTGTTGCATTGAGACTTTCACTGATGACAGCAGCTGGTGTGGGGCTCAGCCTTGACACAGGGGAAGACAAGCCTGTATGGGAGTGCAGAGAGCTGGACCACTCCACCTTCCCCTTTTCTCTTCCCAGACTATCTTTGCCCCCTAAGGAAGATTATCACTATAATACGATTGTTACTACTCTGATGCCATCTTTGGGTATGAGGCTCATAAAGATGCTTTAAGAGTTGAATTCCTCTTCCTCCCCACCAGCCAAGAAATCAGGGGATGTGTTACTGAGCTGCAATGTTAGCCTACACCACCAGGGGGTGATGCTCCCAAAACTATCCCAACGGTCTTCTCTTTGATGGCCCTCTCTCTGATCTAGACCTCAATAATTTAACTCTGAATTGTTTCACAGAGCAGTTGTTGGGGGTTGGGCTTCAAAGACATACCTGTGTTACAGACACAAGTTTGCAGGTGGAGGATGCCGAGGCTGCAGCTCTGCCAGGGGTGCTCTGCAGGAGGTGAGGCTGCAGCTTATGCAGGAGTGAGGTTCTGAGTGCCAACTGTTGTTAGAGGCAAAAACTGTGTTTCTGTGAAGGTTCTGTTGGTTATGCTATGAGGAGAAGAGGGTCCAAATGTGTGATCTTTTATCTGATCTCTATTTTCTGGGTTTAGTGAACGTCTTCAACTCAGCCCTGTGTTCCAGCTTCCTCCAGCCAATGCCTTAGTAAACAAGGGTATTTATAGATTCTCTCTCTACAATGCCCAAGTGTGAAAACCAAAGTGGTCTTCTCTAGGGAGTTTATATGTAATGCACATT